AAATATTATACATACTTATTTTGTATTTTGATTATTTATTTATCTAATTAAGTTGTCATATATTTTATTTTTTTTATATTCTTATAAAACTATCTTTTATTACATAGGGTAGGACAAGGGGATCTAATATCCACCTCCTATATGTGAAATTTTCATTATTACTTTAGATATAGGAGTGCACTTGATTGTCAATATTTTTCATGAAAAAATGTATTTTTCTATCTAAATCCTTACTTTTTTTCTGTTTAATTGACTTTTTTTATGGAAAATATTTTCCTACTTTTAATCACGAGACAATATTTTCCTCAATATCAAGGAAAATATTTTCTTTAAGGTGAGTAAAATTTTATTTTCCAAAAAATTCACTCTCTCTTTCTGTCCTTCATTTATTCACTCTCTCTTATCTATCCACTAATGCGCTCTCCTAAAATTTTAGTAAATGGGCATTGATAGCAATTTTGCCCTTATTTGGGCTCTATTTTAATGAGATTTTGAGAAAAATGTATTTAGAATAGTTATTTTTTGAGAATGTGTGATTAAAAAATAATGAAAAATTTGGGTTTACGTGTAATTATATTTTATTGAAGAATGTTTGGTTGAAAAAAAAAAAAGAAAAAATTTAGTAAAATTAAAATGGAGGCTAAACAGGGCTGAATCTTGAGCATCTATCTTTATTTTCTCATTTTAAAGTTTAAGCTAGTAGTGGAAGGAGAAAATTAATTATTAATCATTTATGTTTAACAGTGGACATAAATTATTTGTCTATAATTAAACGAATTATATTATTCTAATTTGAATTATTCTTGGGGTACATAGAGGGCAGCACCCTCCAATAGGGGCCGTCGAGTGTCCAATTCACATAAGGGGTTATCTACCCAAGAATAATTTTTCTAATTTATTTGCATGTAATAATTTTGCAGAACATTTATGGAGTCTGTGCAACGTATGGAGATAATAAGAAATGACACTTGATGGAGGGAAGAATATATTTGTTGAATTGAGTTCAAGGTTGTACCTAAGAAATATTTTAGTACTTTTCAGAGGGGGCAGAAAGCAAACAAAAAAAAATTGGGGACTTGATTGTTATTTGAAATTCTCATTGCAAGTTTGTATCTCTAAGATTTTATTTGATAAACTTAAAAAAAAAAAATATTTCTTTATTAAAGAAACTTGTATAGTGTTATAAACTAGAAAGAAAAAGAGAGAAAACTAGAGAAATCAATAGATTTGTGTGTATTATTAATAATCAATGCCCTATATTTATAGAATCTAAAATAAGAGTTACGGTTGTTACAATTAAAATGAAATAAATTTTCTAAACTAAATAAGATTTATCTATATATTATGATAATACTAATTAATCATCAATAATTATCTAATTATTTCACAACACATAACTATTATTATTGAAGGGATAAACATGAATGATTTCTAAAGAGATTTGAACCAACCACAATGACATGTTTGACGTAGTTTATTTAGAATAAATTTTATGAAAAGTGATTTTGGAGAATATATGATTAAACTTAAAAGTAAGAAAAATTTATGGGTTGACGTGAAATGGAAGAATGTGTGTTTGAAAATAAATTTAAAAAAATATGTACCAAACAGGGATACAAGCTGTAGAAAACAAAAGGAAAATTTGCAGCCACGCTCCCTGAGCATACCCTATAGCATTTGGGTCCCCTTCAAATTGTTTTGGCATTCAGCTCCCAAAACTATCATTTTTAGTGCATTTCAGGCGAATTGGATGGGAATCATCCAAAATTATTGCGTGAGACTCACAATCCACTTATTTTTTAGCCTAAAAATATTGAGCCGAAATACTTATAACTTCTAAGCATACCCAAGCATGTGCTTAGTTTATCGTTATGTTGAAATTAAAAGCAAACAAAGTTAAAACAAACTCTACAGATTTACTACTAACATTTTTTTTTTTTTTAACTAGTCCTCCAACATATAAAATTCCAACTACTAAATATGTTACATGTTCACAACTCAACAATATCCCTTAAAAAAATATTATTTAAATAAATAAAATAATTGAGCTAAACAATCTCTCCAAATATCGAAAATAAAAAATTTCAAAAATATTAACAACGCATCCTATGAGTACATTATTACGTAAGCGAAGCTAAACAATTACTTGTAATATATAAGTATACAAATCTAAAAATCATTAAAGTTCTACAAAAGATAAAAACTACAATTCCTGTTTTATTGATTGTCGAGTCTCACCAAAAAACCTGAAAAAGAAAGATGATCTTGTATAAGATAACTACTAAAAAATATAACAATAATGTATGATGTCAAAATCATGATTGAAGAAACTTAAATCATTGAAGTTAAATGTATAGACTCTTAATTTACATACTTAAAAAATGGTGATCAAATTAAAAGAAATTAAAGTGAAATGATCAACGTGAGATAAACTTGTAAGTTGGGTCATCTTCAAGTAAAATTTCCCTCTCTCGAAGCTGTTAAACGTCGAACACTGAGTACAAGGATTGTGAATATTCTCTTCTTTTTTCAGTGTCCTTCCAAGATTGATAACAGAGTTCAAATTGTTCAATACATCACAGTATAATTGTTGACACACAAAAAGTTTAGCCCAAATCGAATAGTCCAAGGAATGAAGTCCAATTGGAGGATCCCCAAATCAAATGGCCCAAAAAACGGCCCAATCAGACAATTCAGGATAAAAGCCCAAATAGGGAAGCCCATGAACACGGTAATACCATCGTCCAACTTTGCAAGTCGCCCAAAATTTGAGCGAATGGATTGTCATGCAGTCGCCCAGAGCTGTGACTCTGTTCTCGCTCAAACTTTCAAGTCGCCCAGGATCTTAGCAAACATAAGATGTTATGGTTACCCAAAAGTGCGGTTAATGAAGCAGTTATTGAGTAGCCCTATCACGTTCCACAATCCAAGGAATTCAATTGAAGACGGTTGAACGACCAAAAGTAATGACAGCAGTTAGAGAAGGCAGTTCCATGACAAGTTGGCCACCATGAAGAAAGTGGGCAGTTATAGAGCGATCAAGCAGTTTTTAAGCGGTTGATCACGAAGAGATCATTCAGGGAGTATAAAAGGAAGAAAAGACATAGAGCAGAGGACCCTGAATCAAATACTCTCAAACAAAGAATATGTAACTTTCAATTTCTTAATTTAGATTTAAACACTTCTTTTCAGTAACTCGTGTGCTTGCGCCCCTTGGAGGCATTCTGTTTTATTTTCCAATTGTAAAGTCATCGCCAATAAAAACACCCATTTTTGGGACTTTATCTCAAGAGGTTTGTCCCTTACACAATCGTCTGATCCATTTTTAATTGTTAGCGACTAACCCGCGCGAAACAATTTGACACGCCCAGTGGGACCTTGGTGTTTGATGTTGAAGATACAAAAGGTGAAACAATATGCCTCAGAGATCCGATAAGGAAGCAGCAAGTCAGGGAGGAGTCTAATCTGTGATCGAGCTATATGAGGAGCAGCATAGCTCTCTACGAACAGATGGACAGAATCAGAGCAGTAACAGTCGTTACGAATCAATGACAGACTTGAGTCCTCGAACTATGCGTGCACTACTTGGAGAACTCACACAAGATGTCGTTGAATAGGTAAATCTTCGAAATATTCATGATATGAAAAGATTTACCCAGAATGGGAATGCACATTATGATAACATGGCCAAACAACTGAATACTTTGAACGAAATAATGAATAAGTTAGTAGGCCAAATTTGTCAACCAGTTATGCCTCTTGCAAACCACTTTCAAACTAGGACAATTGTGGGATATAATCCCCCAGTCCTAAATCCAAATCAGGGGGTAAAGCCACCTTTTGGTCCCTCTACTTCAAACCAGGGGGATGGTGTAATGCCAAATCAGAATAATGGTAGAGGTACGTCTAACTTGGGGGGTAATCTAAATGTAAGAGATAATGTCCTAAATAATGGGCAGAATACCCCACGTGTTAATGAGGGAATAAATGTTCAGGCTAATGGTAACAATGACTCAAATCATGGTAACTTTGTTGTCAATCAAGGACCAAACATTAGGCCTCAAACAAATCAACCGGTTAACCAACCGTAGGAATTCCATATGACCCCAACGTCATGTTGAGGAATCAAATTATAAAAATCGTACAGGATCAGATGGCTTTTGGGGTATGTCCTGTCATCAGGCCGACTTTCACAAAGCCATATCCTGATTGGGTAGACCAAGCATATCTATGGCCTAGAGGGTATAAAGTGCTAGAATTGTCACTGTTTACCGGTTTAGGGGAGGTGTCTACTCTAGAACACATAGGACGATTCACACTGCAAAGTGGTGACGTAACTGATTATCATAAAATGAGGTTTTTCCCTAGTTCATTAACAAGAGTAACTTTCTCCTGGTTTATCAATTTGCCAGTGAACTCTGTTTAAACATGGCAACAATTGGAACAATTATTCCATGCTCAGTTTTATAAGACTGAGTCTGAAGTTACTTTGGCCGATTTGGCGAATCTACGTCAAATGCCAAACGAATGGGCAGAAGGCTTCCTCCAAAAGTTCAAGACAGCAAGAAGTAAATGTTTTGTACCTTTACCAGAAAAAGAGTTTGTGAAAATCGCTCAAGGTTGTTTGAACTTTGATTTGAAAAAGAAATTCCAAGACAAGGAATTTCCTGACCTTTTCCAATTGAGCGCGAACGTGATTAGGTATGAACGATTGATAAGAGAAGAAGAGCAGATAAAAAATTCTAGCAAGTGGACTTATTATAGAGACCCAAATTTTGATGTTCATACCATCAATAACGAGGCATACGATCAGACTGAAATGTGTTTGGCCGAATTAGTCAAAGGAGACACATATACTTGTCCTATAATGGCTAAGCCTAGACTATCAGGTAAGGATGAGCTTATGAAAGATGAAAACACAAAAGCTAGAACGTTCTCGTTCGATGTAACCAAAGCTGACCTTATATTTGATAAATTATATAAAGATAAGCAGATAAAGTTGAGCGATAAGCATAAATTGCCAAGCTCTGAACAAATTAAGGGTAAAAAATATTGTAAGTGGCATAGTACATGGTCATATTTGACTAACAATTGCTTGATTTTTCGCCATGTGTTACAGGATGTCATTGAATTAGGACGAATTACGTTCGATGATAAGAAGAAGATGGCAGTGGATGAAAATCCTTTTCCACAGCCACTTGGAGTGAATATGGTGACGTTTGGTTTCAAAAACAAGTTGTCAAAATTCAAGTTGGTTATAGATGATGGAGAAGAAGACCCTGGACCACATCCCAGTGTCTTTGAGCGTATTAAAAGGAAGGAGCCAAAAAAGGATGAAGACGTCTTGTGTGCAAGATATAAAAGAGAAGTGAGTGGGAATACGGAGAAATCAGGGATATGGCAGTATCCCCATCGCCCTACTTTCTTCCCAAACGCTCAACCTGGTAGAGGGCGAGATACATCGTTTTATAAGGGACCGCCTTTTGAGAGGCAGTTCAGGCCAGTAAATAATGGGAGAACATTCAGGCCGCAACCTTGCCAACCAAATGTATGGCATTCGTTCCAGTATAATGCAGAAAAGGCGATACCCTTCAACGAGATGACTAGAACCCAACAAAAGCGTTTCCAACGAAATTATGGACGCATGATGAGGCAACAACAGGGAATGCCACGTCCTAAGGCGCCTAAACTACTTGAGGTAGCCAATGAAAATGTTCTAAAAGACAGTGAAGAGACTGATACAGAAGAATCAATGAAAAAGTTGCCAGAAACTTCTTCTGGGAGATCAAAGTTTGAGCGAGACAGAAGGGATGGAGAAGATCCAGATCAGCCCCTTACTATTCAATTCGGTACGTTACCTCCTGTCGTGGCTAATAACTATTTACTGGCCAATGAGTTCAAGAATAAAGAGCAAGAAGAAGAAGAAAGAGAGGATAACGAAGGAGAAGCATGCGTGCTGGAATATGAAGAAGGCCAGACTTCTAGAGAGGCCTACAATGGTGAGGAAGATGATGGTATGACAGATATTGAAGAGGAAATCGATCTGGAAGCAGAAAGAAGAAAAAGAG